GGGAAAGGGTCGGGTGACACACCGAATCATCTTTGATATAAAGTGCTTCACACCGAGCACTGCCTCCAGATTTTGGCGCGGATTAAAGGGGTTGTCCCGAATGGAGTCCATCGGTTGGGCTCACCATCAATTGGCAGTAGGTCGGCATAACGCCAGAGCTTTCGGGACCGCGTTCATGGATCTCCGTGAAATCGACTTTGGATCGCCTCGTAGTTGTAATCCCCTCAAGTGGACCAACAGAACTCGCACACCTGGAGCGGTTCTTTGGGATACTGCCTTCCACATTCAACCGACATTTTCAATCCCAGTACTTTTTCTGTCATGTTCGTCTCCGTTGTTCAGAATAAAGGAATTCTGCATAGTAAACTATCGGTCAATTTTCGAGACCTAATGACCATCATTTCATTCAAAGTTGGACAATAAAAAAGCCTTCATCACGGCTGTGACAATAGGCAATTCTGTAAAGCATATATATAAAAACATCCCATTCATATCTGAAGTTGCCTCTTTCACCTTGCCCGCACGCATGGACACCGCAATAGCAGCAATGCCTGCCCGGCATGTACATGTCATATTTGCAAGGGGAAAGTGGGTATGGAGAGAAATTGAAGTGAGATTGCCGCATTTCTAATTCGCCTACCTAATGTTATTTATGATAAAGCCGGTTTAATTTTAGCATACACCCCATATAAAGGCAAGAGAAAATTAACAATCATTGAAGTTTAATTGTTAGGTTCTGTTGACATTTGACCAATTGAACCAATATCGGTTTCTGTAGGGTCAACCCCCAATAGATCGGGATTAAGAAACTTGTGGTTGGCTCGCTGTATAGGTCAATTATCCAAAATCGACACCAATCTCGCAAAAGGTGTTAGATTCTGTTAGATTCTGTTAGGTTACTGAGGATAGCTGCGGGGAACACGACTCATGCCAAACACATGTTACCCCGCTGGGGCTACCGTCTCCATGTAGGGGTAACCCTTGTGGTTACCCTTCGTCGGGAACACCAATTTTTGCCAAAAGTGTTAGATTGTGTTAGATTGTGTTAGATAATTGTGGATAGATGACGGATTAAACTCCCCCTGATGCATTTGAGACGACCTGTTCTTGGGGAATTACCCGATTGTTTGCCGAATCGTCGACACCAAAATGTCAACACGCCCTAGCAACTTGCGTTATATTAACCCAATTGCTAGGGCGTGTTGACATTTGTGGCATAATAGTAATATGTCCACACTTACCCTATCTGATAGTCAATGGTCAAAAATAGTATCATTCCTTAAAACTTGTCCTGACATCTATACCGGACAACAAACAGACTTAAAACGGTTTATCCATGCGGTGCTTTGGATAACTCGTAGTGGCAGTCAATGGCGACTGTTACCTAACCAGTACGGCAATTGGAACAGTGTCTATAAACGATTCGCAAGGTGGTGCGATAAAGATATCTTTCAACGAATGCACCAACACTTTGCCAAAGACCCCGATATGGAGTGGCTTATCATTGACAGCACTATCATTCGCGCACACCCATGTGCTGGGGGTGCATTAAAAACAAGTGGGGGTCAAGCCTCACAAGCACTTGGACGCAGCCGGGGTGGATTCTCAACTAAGATTCATATCGCTGTTGATGGCTTAGGCAATCCCTTACATTTTATGCTGACAGCGGGTCAACGGCACGACATCACTTGTGCTGAGGCGTTAATTGACGGTTATAACAGTGAGTATGTGATAGCTGACACATCATATGACTCGATGGCATTGATTGAGTCGATAACCCAAAGGGGGGCAGTGCCGGTGATACCGCCACGTGCCAACCGTCGTGATTCCCGCACTTATGATGCACATCTGTATAAAGAGAGACATCAGGTCGAATGTTTCATCAACAAAATCAAGCAGTATCGACGTATTTCCTCTCGTTTTGATAAGTTAGCGGTGCGGTATATGGGGTTTCTGAGTTTCGTTGCCACGATTATCTGGTTACGATGAAATGTCAACAGAACCTAGCGTTGTTACGAAAGGTTCTCAATTATCACCGGTTCTATGGCATCCGCAGGTGCAAATCCAAAAACCTGCGCGTAAAAGTAGAGTTCCGCTTCAAGTGAACGCTGGATGTTTTCGCTTCGGCGGAATCCGTGCTGTTCACCTTCAAATGGAACATAAGCAACAGGCAACCCTTTCGTACGCAACGCTTCGACCATCATCTCCGCCTGATTGGGAGGAACAACTTTATCTTCAAGCCCCTGAAAAAGAATCAAGGGACATGAAAGGCGATCTGTAAAGTGGATTGGCGATCGCTCCCGGTAGCGATCGCGCTCTTCAGGATAGGGTCCAATCAAGCTATCCAGATAGCGGGATTCAAACTTGTGTGTGTCCCTTGTCATCGCTTCAAGGTCGCTGATCCCGTAGTAACTAGCACCCGCTTTGAAAACGTCACGGAAGGTCAACGCCGAGAGCGTTGTATAGCCGCCCGCACTTCCGCCTTGAATTGCTAGCCGATTCGCGTCTACATAGCCGTGTTCGGCGAGGTATCGCGCCCCGTTCACACAATCGTCAACATCAACAATGCCCCACTGATCGTTAAGTCGCTGGCGATAGGCGCGGCCATAGCCGCTGCTGCCGCCATAGTTCACATCGAGGACAGCAATCCCCCGGCTCGTCCAGTATTGAATCTCTAGGCTGAACGCAGCCGAAGTTGCTGAGGTCGGACCGCCATGGCTGATGACGAGGAGCGGGGGCAGATCGTCGGCAGGTGCGGCGTAGTCACGATTTTGTGGAGGATAGAAAAAGGCGTGGGCACTGAGATTGTCTTCGGTCGGGAATTCAATCGCTTGGGGGGCTGAGAAATATCCGGCATCAATCTCTATCTCACTTGGACGGCATACGACCTCGAATTGTCTCGTGGCAAGGTCAAGGCGGACGATTGATGCCGATTCCGTCGCTGAACTGGCATTGAACAGGATTCCGCCGGGGATAGCTTGCAGATTGGCAATTGATGTGTAGGGCGTCTCAATCTGATCGAGCCTTCGTGTTACGGTATCCAAACTTGCTAGATACCAGATACCATCCCGCGTGTAAGTACAGATAATCTGATTAGCGGCGACAAATCGATAGGTGGACATGCCAAATATCCACTGTGGTCTCCCGAACTCCGCTTCCATCTCGCATAGCAGTTCGACGGTTCCAGCATGACAGCGATAGAGATTCCACCATCCCGTTCGATCGGAGGCGAAGTATAACGTGCCATCTAGCGACCATTCGGGTTGAAAGATCGATTCATCAACGCCACCTGCCACGCGCTCGGTTCTGTCAAGTGACCCGTCGGCACTGATCTCCCCAACCCAAAGTTCAGCACCATCCCAAGGCATATTCGGGTGGTTCCAAGCCATCCACGCCAAATGCGTGCCATCGGGACTCAGGCGCGGTGCTGCATAAAAATCGTTGCCGCTGACAAGCACCTGTCCGTCCTCTGTTCCGCCCAGCCCAATACCTACCAGTGCGTTGACGGCTTCGCGCTCGGTATCGGTATGGTCTTCACGGACACAGATTAGGCGTTTCCGTGTGGCGTCAACAACGCCATCTGCATAGCGCAGCGCGGCTTCGGGGGTAATCGGTTGTGGCTCTGATCCGGAAATCTGGCGGTAGAGACGTTGATCAGCAAAGTTTGAAAAGTAGACCGTACCATCACTGACGACGAACGCCGCACCACCGTACTCATGGACTCGCGTCCGTGCGTTGAAAGGGGGTGGCGTCACATCGGTCGTCTGCCCGTCTGGAGTCCGTCGAACGATGACATAGCGACCGCTCTCAGTCGGACGCATCTCAATCCAATAGATATCTTCTCCATCGGCTACGGCTTCTATTATCTTGCGTCCTTCCGTCGAAATGAGATTTGCGCTGATTGGAGATTTCCATGAACCATAAGGTGCCACCTGCGGTTGCGTCATCACCTTCTCCTTGAATTTTAGAGCTTTGATTTAAGTGGAAATTGAGGGGTAGTGTAGCAGAAAATGGACTGTGGATCAAGGTGAGAAAAAACACTCTACTTGATTTTTAAGGCGTTAGAAAGCATAGATCTAACTCTTGTGTAAAATGAACCATCTTGGCTTAATTGCTTGTTAGCTTGTGCTGCTTCATACATGCTAAATCCCAACACAAGGAGGAGAACGGTGGCTTGTGTCACCCATGTCAATTTTGAGGGAACTTGGGCGATATCTGCATCTCCTCGGAACCGGCTTGCAGCAAACCGAAGAGCAACGCTGAAAAGATAACACCAATCGGATGGAGCCGTCCGAGCAGCGCAACGGCAATGGCTGTATAGCCGTATCCGGGCGCATTCTGATAAAGCCGATGGGGACTTAACCCCATCAATTCAATTGTGCCTGCTAACCCTGCTAACCCGCCGCTGATCAGCATAGCGATGATGATATTTCGAGAAATATTGATGCCTGCGACTCGTGCGGCGACTTGGTTTTGCCCAACCGCCCGTATCTGATAGCCAAGGACCGTGCGAAACAGGATCCAGTATAGGAGAACCGCAAGTATGAACGCAAGGATAATCCCCAAGTGAATCGGTTGGATGGAACCCACTCTTTTGGGAGTATACGGGGTAGGACAGCGTTCGCTGCGATTTTTCGCTCTGTTGATATGCTTTCGTTGCTTCTTGCAGCGGACCGCCATCTATCGAATAACGGACTAGTTCAAGTGCAATGAAGTTAAGCATGATAGTGCTGATGACCTCTTGCACACCGCGATAGGCTTTGAGCAGTCCGGCGATTATCCCCCAGAATCCTCCGGCGGCGAATCCAAGCCCAAGAATCAGAGGGATAAAGAGAAATGGCGGCAGGTTGGCAATTGATGTACTGATCCAAGTGGTGACCAGCGTACCGATGAGGTATTGTCCTTCAGCCCCAATGTTCCAAACACCGCACCGAAATGCGAACGCTACAGCCAACCCCGTCAGCAGCAAGGGACAGGTTTTTACAAACGTCTCCGTCACCTCCCGCATTCCCCCCAACGCGCCTTGATACATAGCGACAAACGCCTTTATCGGTTGGTAGCCGCACGCAAGCATAATGAGTGCGTTGATGAAAAGAGCTAAGAGGGTAACGAGGATTGGAAAAAGGATCTGGGTTGATTTGATACGCATTAAGATTAGGACTCATATCAAAAGAAAATGCAAAACGCGAAGAACGTGAAGCGTGAAGCGTGAAAACAAATTGGTTCAGTCAGTGCTTGGGAGTCCCGATTCTGTTGCATCATAAGGAACGATGGGTGAGCAAAGGGAAAAAAACTAGGAAGGCGCAGTGGAAGAGATGCCCGATGAAGCAGGGCAACCATAAGGGTTGCTTCTACAGTTAAGGTCTTAGGTTTGTAGTAGGGCGATAAATCGCCCGTACCCCCTCTAACTCCCCTACCCCCCTTTATCCCCCCGCAAGCAGGGGGAGGGAAGGGAGAAAGCAATGAATTGCGATACTACAAATTGCTCCCGATGAAGCATCGAGGATTCAAAGCAATTTGAATCCCGATAAAATCGGGGCTGAACTGCGTAACTTCTAGTTAAGATGTGGTTAAATCTCACTCAATAACCCACGTATCGCCTTCATTGAGTAGGGCATCTAGATCGCCTTCGCCCATCCGCTCTTTAGCAGTGCTGATCTGTTCTGCCAGCATACTTTCGTAACAAGGGTGCTCAACGCTACGAAAGATACCGATTGGATGGGGGAAGCCTGGAACTTCAGTCATACGGCTGAGGAAGTACGCCAATGTTCGATCTTCGGCAAACTGATCATGGGTAATCAGGTCTTGGGTGGTGTGTGCACCGTCGGTCAAGGAAACAACCTCCGGTTTAAACCCGTTTAAGCAGATAGCCTTGGTACTGTCCTTCCCAAAGACTAGTGGTTCACCATGTTCTAAAAACACCGTATTCTCAGCTTTCGTTTCCTTTTCGGTATACGTAAAGAATGTGCCGTCATTGTATACGTTACAGTTCTGGTAGATCTCGACGAACGAAGTGCCTTTGTGTTCAAAAGCTGCCTTGATGACATTTCGCAGATGCTCGGGGTCCCTATCAAGAGAACGGGCAACAAAGGTCGCTCCAGAAGCAAGTGCCAAACTGATCGGATTGAAGGGATTGTCGATCGAGCCCATCGGCGTTGAGTAAGTTTTTTTGCCTTGCTCGGAAGTCGGGGAATATTGTCCTTTCGTCAGTCCATAGATACGGTTGTTGAAGAGCAACACATTAATGTCAAGATTACGGCGCATCAAGTGAATGAAGTGGTTGCCTCCGATTGACAACGCATCGCCATCACCGGTGATCACCCAAACTGATAGGTCGGGGTTAGCGGCTTTTACGCCTGACGCAATGGTTGGTGCACGACCATGAATGGTATGGAAGCCGTAAGTATTCATATAATATGGGAAACGGCTTGAGCAGCCAATCCCGGAGATAAAAACGAAATCTTCCTTGGGGATGCCTAGGTCCGGCAAAATCCGTTGGGTTTGCGCAAGAATTGAGTAATCCCCACACCCTGGGCACCAGCGAACATCCTGATCAGAGGTAAAATCTTTCTTAGTCAGCGTCGGAACAGCACCCGGTATTGCGATGGAGGTCTGGTTTTTCATAAATCACCTTTTAACAGCTCATCAATTTTAGATTCGACTTCAGATATATGGAACGGTTGTCCTTGGATCTTATTAAGACCGACGGCATCTATCAAGTACTCTGCGCGAATCAGTAGGCGCAATTGCCCGAGGTTCAGTTCAGGAATGAGCACCTTTTTGAAATTTTTCATAATGTCACCGAGCTCTTTTGGAAGGGGGTTGAGATATCGTAGGTGTACATGCGAGACCGATTTGCTTTCTGCTTGTTTATGTTCAACGGCTGTCCTAACCGCACCGTAGGTTCCACCCCAACTCAGCGTAAGAAGCTCACCACTTGGTTCACCAAATACTTCTGTGGCTGGGATGTCATTTGCGATGCGCGCGACCTTTTCTGCTCTAAGGTGAACCATGTGTTCATGGTTTTCCGGGTCATAACTGACATTTCCGGAGATGTCTGCTTTTTCCAGACCACCAATGCGATGTTCTAGGCCGGGGGTACCCGGTATTGCCCAAGGACGTGCTAGTGTTGTTTCCTCGCGCAGGTAGGGTTCAAACCCATTGGTGTCGGTCGGAAAACCGACATCAATCGCCTGCAGATCCGATACCTTCGGAATGAGCCAAGGTTCGGCCCCGGAGGCAATATACAGATCGGACATGAAAATCACCGGTGTCATGTATTTGATAGCAATTCGGCAGGCTTCATAAACAGTTTCAAAACAATCGGATGGACGCGAAGCGGCAATCACAGGGAGCGGCGACTCACCATTTCGACCATAAAACATTTGCAGGAGATCCGCCTGTTCGGTCTTTGTCGGCATTCCTGTCGAGGGTCCGGCTCTCTGAATATTGCAGACAACTATTGGCAGCTCTGCAATCATGGCAAGGTTGATGGCTTCCGCTTTGAGAGCAATGCCAGGACCGCTACTGCCAGTAGCACCTAACGCTCCACTAAACGCTGCACCAATCGCAACGCCCACCGCTGCAATCTCGTCTTCCATCTGCATCGTTTTGACTCCGAAGTTCCTATATCTTGCCAATTCATGGAGAATGGTGCTTGCGGGCGTAATAGGATAGCTACCGTAAACCAACTGTAATCCAGATTTTTGAGATGCGGCAACTAACCCCATCGCTGTCGCCATATTCCCTTCGATATTACGATATTTCCCCGGTGCAAATTTGGCGGGCTTGATTTCATAAGAGGTCGCAAACTGCTCCGTAACTTCGCAATAAATATTTCCAGCTTTTAAGGCGAGGGTATTGGCTTCAATGTATTGCGGTTTTGCGGCGAACTTTTCTTTGAGCCATTGAAACGCATAGTCCATCGGGCGGTTATACATCCAACACACCATCCCAAGCGCGTAGAAGTTCTTGCATCGATCGATCTCGCGTTGAGTAAGACCGGTGTCTTTCAACGCTTCTCTTGTGAGACGGGTCAGTTCGACCGGGAACACCTGAAACTGCGTCAACGAACTGTCTTCGAGGGGGATTACTATTATATCCAGCCAGTTTGAGGTTGCGTGCGGCAAAATTATCTGTGTCGACAATAAGAATCCCATTCGGTTTGAGTTTATCAATGTTGACCTTTAATGCTGCCGGATTCATCGCCACGAGAACATCACAGAGATCACCGGGCGTATGAATCGTCAAACTGGAAAAACGGAGTTGGAACCCTGAAATTCCCAGCCAACGAGCCCGCAGGGGCGCGAATCTCCGCAGGGTAATCTGGCAACGTCGCAACATCATTCCCTGCGATTGCGGAAGCTTCGGTCATTTGGGTTCCAATTATCTGCGAGCCACCGCCAGAATCGCTCGCAAACATAATTGTCGCCTCCTCTATCAATTGTTTCTGCTTTTTCATCCATCTATCCTTCTTTCTATTTAAACCTGTTCTCGTAAAAGCAGGATTCACGCTCCTTCGCGGGCTTTCATCGCGTCATTATCCGGTGTCGGCGGTAGGGTTAGCACTTCTTGTGGAAAATGTTCGACAAGATAAGAGATAATGTTGCGAATTGAAACCATCCCGACCGGCTGATTCTGTTTATTCACGATGGGTATATGTCGGTAGCCGCCCTCCGCCATATACAGTATTGCCGTGTCAAGGGAGTCTTTTATATGGGCGGTCTGCGGGTCGGCTTTCATAAATTGTTCGATAGGAATCTGTGTTAAATCACCCACCGGTTTGTTCAGGATTTTTAGCAGCACATCCCGTTCACCGAAAATCCCTTTGAGAACGCCATCGGATACAATGAGGATTGCACCGATCTTATTGTCGAGCATTCGATCAATTGCTTCTTGTGTACTTGCACCACTGTCAACTGTGACAGCGGGGTGCATCAAAGAGTGCAGCGGCACGTGAATCTCGCGAGGGCTTAAGGTTTTTGATGGCTCATCGGGGGTTTCCTCATCCATGATAGCCAGTTCTTCTTCAACGATTTCTTGGTACAGCACGGTTCATCCCTCCTTACCTCTCTCCAAAAACGCGGCGACATAGTTCGCGATGTCCTTACTTGATATAACACTAGCGGGGTATACACCTTCATCTTCATCGGACTCTCCAACGAGCAACGGAATATGACGGAAGTGGCCTAGGTGCATGAGGTTCAAGGCAAATGCCATTGAATCATTGGGGCGCAATGATTCCGGTGATGGAGTCATGATATCATCTACTCGAACTTTGTCGGGTTGTGCTCTCACTTCGTCGATATGAACGAGTAAGTCCCGTTCTGTGATGATGCCAGCAAGTTGTTCCTGTTCATCAACGATTAACACACACCCAAATCGCCCTTTTTGCATCAGGTCGATCACCTCTGAAACCGGTGTGCCTATCGCCACAGTGCAAGGTTGCTTGAGATTCAGTATGCTAATCGGTAAAGATAAGGTTTGCGTGTCCATGGTCTTCTCCTTTCAATCAACGTCTGAATCGATCATGTCTCTTTTAGAAAACTGGTTACGTGGGTCATCGGTAATAGTGTGCAAATAGTAGCATACACCTCAGCATTTTGCAAGTTGAAATGGGGCAAAATAGAAATATGTAAATGAATAATTGGACATGGCTCCTGTCAAAAGAAAGTGCAAAGTATTAAAGCATCCACGAATTAACGCGAATCTACACAAATAAAAAAGAAATACTAAAGACGGGCAACCACAAGTTGAGCGTAGCGAAATCCCGATTCATCGGGGGGGGGTGACCCTACGATCTGCCCAAAACCCGAAATGTTCGGGCGGGGAGACCTCGCCCCCGAAGCCAAAAAGATAAGTGTTTACTATTGTTTAACGATGAATCTTACTGGAAGTTTCTACGTCATCTACCCATTTACCTCTTTGTCATAATGGTAAAAACTATCCAGTTAATAGTTGAGGGGTGCTCGTAATTACTGTCTGAATCAGGATTTAAGGATTTACAGGATACCCAGCAACGGATGCGTTCAACGCAACGGTCACGCTTCGGCAATGGTAGGGGCTTGGTTTCTAATCCCAATGAGTTGGGAGACCCACCCCCTACGCATTGAGGGGGTTCAAGACAACACACATCAAAATCTACTTATGAGCACCTTCCAATTATATCACTACGCTAATTGAGTGTCCATAACAAAAAGAGATGGACGAATTGTTCATTTACCCCCGGTTTTTGCAGGAGTAAAAGTTGACGGTGTTGTAAGCATAAGCAGTCTGAAAGGGGTTGCGGATACGGTGATAACAATGGTAAGTTTTACTGAGGGATGTTGGGAAGTTTCATAGTTTTCATAGTGTTTTGGGAAAAATGCCAGAATTTGATAGAGGGGGAAAAGGGTGAAAACTCACGCCGGGACTGGCTTCTGGGTGATGAGGGCAGGAAGGCTCTCGAAACTTACTATGAAATTTTATACTTTCTGAGGGACGGAGGAAAACAGTGGCGACACAAAAGGGAAAGGTTTCAATTCAGGACGCGCTTCGTGGAAATCTTACGAAAAAAGGGGATGCGGAACTACGATCGGATTTAGAAGGGTTGTTTAGTACGTTGACTGGTTATGACCTTGTAGATGCGGTTATCGAGCGTGTGCAGCGTTATGCGGTGGAAGCATCGGGTAAGACTATGGACCGCGATTTTGGTCGGATGGCACCGTATCAAGTGGATCAGATTAAAGAGAGGATTCGTGAGGAGTTGATTGGACACCTTTCGTCTTTTATCTCGGATGCACATCGGGAGTTTATTGTTCGCAGTCATGCACAAGGGTTATCCACTGCTGATGCGGTTGTGGAGTTGATGATAACAGACAAAACGATAAATCGGTTGGCGCGAGAGGACGCTATAGGTTTGCTGAAACTTCGAGAAATGTTGATTCCTCGATTGGCGTATTTGAAACCGGGGTCGGCGCGGTGGCCTGAGAAGAAGTATGGTGCGGTGTGGCGTGAAACGCGGGAGGCGTATAAATGGGCGATGCGTGATATTCCGTTCACGTCTCAGGTGGAGCAGGTCGCGCTTTTAGCGAAACAGGCAGATCGAATTAATGAAGCGTTGGAAACAGGGGGACACTCTGTAGAGGATGTGCAGGTGTTGACGAATTCGTTGATAAAGACGGTGGAGAGTTTGCGGAAGTTGTCGGCGGTTGATGAACAACAGCCATCTTTGAATTTGTCTGCGCCTCAGTTGGTTGGGGTTCTGGAACGGTTGACGCTTGCGTTGCGGGCACCTGAGCAGGGTGCCATTGATGGGGAGGCGGCGGCATTGGTTGGGGTTCTGGAACGCTTAACGCTTGCGTTGAAGGCACCTGAGCAGCGGGTGAATGGCGATGGGGCTAAGGCTTTGCCTGCGGAGGCGGGTGGTGATGGTGGTGAGGCTGGAGTGAAGTGATTGGGCTTGGATTTATCAATTAGAGGTGTTTAATTTTGGCAGCATTGCAAGATATTTGCCGTTGTTTGACAAATTGCTTCACATGCTTGCTCCTTTTTCAGATTAAGGGAATTGCATCTATTATAGAGAT